GAACTCAGCAGGAAGTGCAGCCCGGTAGCGAGCGTCACTAGCGCGGAGGTGGGTAACGAGGTCAGCGACAGTGGGAAAGGCAGCGAGGTCAGGGAAGAGAAACGGTAGCATGAGGCGGCTCAGCGTAGCGGAGGAAGGGGAGGAGTAGCGTGCAACTACAGCGTCGTACAAGGCCTGAGCGGTCTTGCACTGACTAAAGTGGGCACGCTCGGAGGAAGGGAGGTGGCGACGCACAGCAAGACGTGCAGCAGCATCGCGGGTCGCCCACTTGGAGCGAACGGCGGAGTCAGCATCAGCAGGAGGGGCAGGGACAGCGCCAGAGACAAAGTCAAAGAGAGAGACCTCATCTATCGCATCACACAGTAAGTACAGCTGCAGGTCTTCAATCCAGACTGCAAAGTCAATGGCTCTACCCTCAGCGTCAAAAGCTAGGACATTGGGGGTGGCCATGACAGCAGCTGACAGTCTCACCGAGAAGGAGAGTCGGGTAGGTCAGCGGCACAGTAACACAGCTCAGGAGCAGCAGTAGCCCCACAGGAGCAGGAGTGCGGCTCCTCTGGCGGCTCGGGCAGCTCGGGCGGCTCGGGCGGCTCGGGCGGCTCGGGCGGGTCGGGCGGCTCGGGCGGCTCTGGCGGCGCGGGCGGCTCGGGCGGCTCGGGCGGGTCGGGCGGGTCGGGCGGCGCGGTCGGCTCGGGCGGCTCAGGCGGCTCGGGCGGCGGCACGGGCGGCTGGGGCGGCGCTCGGGCGGCTGCACGGGCGGCCGGTGTGGCTCTTGGGCGGCTAGCGGGCGGCTCACGGGCGGCTGCACGGGTAGCTGCACGGGTAGGCGTACGGGCGGGTGCACGGGCGGGAACACGGGCGGGTGCACGGGCGGCCTCACGGGCGGCTGCACGGTCAGCTACATGGGCGGGTGAACGGGCTGGTGCACGGGCGGCTACACGGGCGGGTGCACGGGCGGCTCACGGGCGGGTGCACGGGCGGGTGCACGGGCGGGTGCACGGGCGGCTACACGGGCGGCTCGTCGGGCGGCGTCAGGGCGGCGCGTGGGCGGCGGTCTGGGCAGCGGGACGGGCGGCGCGTTGGGCAGCGCGACGGGCAGCGTTCTGGCGGGCAGCGGACAGCGCGACGGGCGGCGCTAGGGCGGTCGCACGGGCAGCACGGCGGGCGGCGCTATTGGGCGGCGCTACGGGCAGCTGCAAGGGCGGCGCTCACGGGCGGCGCTAACGGGTGGCGCGACGGGCGGCGGCTCACGGGCGGCGCTACGGGCGGCGGCTCACGGGCGGCGCTACGGGCAGCCGCACGGGCGGCGCTACAGGCGGCGCTAACGGGCGGCGCGAACGGGCGCCCGCACGGGCGGCGCTAACGGGCGGCGCTAACGGGCGGCGCGAACGGGCGGCCGCACGGGCGGCGCTAACAGGCGGCGCTAGCGGGCGGCGCTAACGGGCGGCACTATGAATGAAGTGAGTACAAATATGAAACCCTAATTGGTTGTACCCCCTATGGGATACCCCACCATAGCCTACACAACAGCATAAGCTACAATGTTCTGACAGTGTCTCCACAGGAATGTACCCTAAGAACAATTCTGTCCATGTACCAGGGTTCTCGTTATCCGACCAATTTGGTCTGATGGTCTGCGTTTAAGACTGGTTTTTTTTGTATTCATCTTAATCCTAAGATTTTGTGTTTGTTCTCATCTGATCAGCAAGATTTGACTTTTAAGTTCGTATGATTTTTTGAGACGTGTAGAATTTTTTATCTGAGGATACAGATAGCGAGTTCGGTTTCGTCTGAAACCGACAACTTGACCCACTAGGCCATAGGCCCAGTTGACCAGAGGACACGACCACCACAGGTACAGCCGATTGCTGCCTTGTAACTGCACGCGCATTCATTACGCGTGTCTTATACAGCTCTGTAACTGCCTTGTGCAGCCTCGCTGGCATGTATCTGCGGCATATGCTGCCAGGCGTTTGTCGTTTGGGTGGCTGTCGGCGCCGACGCCAGCCACAGCCACGACAACGCGCTGTCCCGTTGTGCCAGCGCATTTGCTTTTCGTAGAGGGCGCGCAACACATCACTGTGGTCGTAGTGCCCCCCGCTCCCAACACGCACCGCCTTTCGGTTCTGAGTGCAGTGCACGGTGATGGGGTTTCATGCAGCTGGGTCTGGCTTGAAAACAAGCCTGTTTCTCCTGCTCGTCCTCACCTCTCCCCCAGCCGAGCATGGATCGTTTCCCTCCCAGCGTCTGATTTCCCAGCGTGATGCTTCCCAGCGTTTAGGCTATGGCCGTCCCCGCCGGCGGACCGTGCGATGGGGAGCCCGTGCTTTCCGCCCTAGACTTCCTAACGCGGGGCAAGCAGATCGCTTCTGCTGCCCCTCCGATTGCGTCGAACTCTGCTGCGGTACCTCGACAATCACGCATCTGGGGAGTTCCGCGAGGTCCTCGTTGCTGGCACTGCTTCCGACGGCACATCGGTCAGCCATCGATACCGACTGCACGAGGAGAAAATCAAGGGCTCCAGTCTCTGCGCAACATGTTCAAGCGGAAGCCAGATGACCCTGACACTATACCAGGTGCGTTAAATGCCGGGAATGAGCTGTATGTTTAGCGTTGTTTCCACATGCTTGTCTAAACACTACATCACCAATTCCAATGTTCCCATGTGCACCCCAACCGCAGGCATCAACTGGGCAAGAGCGCAGCGAGAGCTTGTCACCTTCTCTACCATCCTGGCCACACACCAAGAGGATGTCGGGTGTGCGGACAGCCTGAAACTCATGCTATCCTCCCCCGACTGGGCGACGTGCTACCCGAACCTCGTCCACCTGTGGATGGCTGTCGCCGTGCTTCCGCTCAGTACCGTCGAGTGTGAGCGCGGCTTCTCACGACAAAACATCATCAAGAGTTGGCTTCGCGGGAACCTGTGCGACGCGAAGCTGGGAGAGCTAATGGCTGTGTCGCTCCTAAACTATGACATGGAGTGGCCCGAGTTGCTGAGGAGGTGGAATGCTTCCAAGAAGCGAAGGCCTGCTAACGATGTGCTGATGGCGTCCCGGGAGAGACAGAGCAAGCGTGCGAGGAAGAGATTGGCCGCAGCTACAGCAGCAGCAGCTGCACTGGCAGCAGCAGAAGCAGCTGCTCGAGAAGCGGCCCTGGTAGCAGAAGCAGCAAGGATGGATGTTGAGTACCCGTGGCTTACCAGGAAAGAACGGGCCACGGTTCCCGTGGGGAGTGAGGATGGTAGTAGTGATAGCAATGAGGACTACGGCTCTAGTGACTCTTGTCAAGAATAATATATATATTTCTATATATTGTTTTTTTGTAACTGCCTGTAGTGTAGACTACTGTAGTTATATAATGTTCTATTTTGGTGGTGCACCTTTCTTCTTGCCTATTTGTACTCCTCGCTCTATAGTGAAACACCTCTTTTGTTCAAACTTTCTCGACCTTTCCTAAACTCAATCGAGCTCGATCTCTCCTACCTCTCTAGCCATGGCTCCTAAGACTTGCTAGTTATTTTCACATGTTATCAGAGTGGTTCCTATCCTAGGACCTATATTTTTTTTCCCATGGGCCCACCGCATCACGCTCCTGCCATAGCGCTCGTCGCGGCCCCAGCTGTGCCCGTTCAACCGCTCGTCGCGAATGTTGCGAAGTTGAGCGTGGCGCCCTTGGCGCTGTTTATTTTTCACGGCCCCAGTCGTCGGCCCCGTCGCCTGCCCATCGCGCCCTACTGTAGCCTCGTCACGCCCTGTCGCGGCCCCGAGCGTCTGCATCGACGGTCGCTTTGGGGGGAGACGGCGGGTCTGGCGGCCGAGCTGCTTCAGTCGCCAAATGCGCCCCCTGCCCCGCAAGTGACGGCGAGCTGTGCGAAGGCGCTCGTCGCGGCACCTATTGTACCCCCCCGTTACTCCCCCCCCTTACCCGCGATCTCGCCAACACCAACCACGCCCACTGCCATGTCTTCCGCTGTGGACGACGGTGTGGGGGGGGGGGGGGGGGAGGGGGAGGCGCGAGGGTGGTTGACGCCGCTCTGTTCGCTGCTGCATTACACCGCTGCGCCGCCACGCGCCGTCCCTACTCTCTCCCTGCTGCGCGTGCAGCAGTGTGGGGGGGAGGTTTTGGGGTGGCGGGTGTGAGCAAGAAGCTGCCGCCCCTCCTCTCTCTCTCACTGCCGCACGTGCCGCTGTGGGGGGGGGAGTGAGGGGACGACGGAAGTCAGCCGGTCATCTGCTGCTGACGCCCGCTGCTGCCGTGGCACCTCCAGCTGCCGCCCCTGCTACCACCTACCTTACCTTTTGTTGTCCTTGTTTCTGCTACCTACTGCTGGGGCCTGCAGGTGCTGCCGTCGAGCCGCTGCTGTCCTGCTGCATGTTGCAGCCACAGAGCCTGCTCCTCAGGCGCCCTGCCGCCCCAACACCTGCTACTTTTTGTTTTACCTTGGTAAAGGGGTTGGTACAGCTGTATCTGCCATCACTGCACCGGTTGCCACTGCACTTGCCTGTTGCTATAATTTCCGCTGGTCTCCTGAACGTTCCCGTGTGGTACGACACCGGTGTCGCTGAGTTCTGGTGCCCCACTCCCACCCTGTTCGCGATCGAGTTCATCCTGTTCAACTTTGTTGAGCTTCTGAGGTGGCAAGACATCAAGAAGCCCGGCAGCGTGAGCACGGACCCCTTCGGCAACACTCCCCCACACTGACTAGGTCCTTGGCTACTGCCTAGGTTGTTTGATAGAATGAGTATAATTGCAGGTAGTGTTCTTGTAGGCTGACTTTTTACTTGGTTTTTTTTTTCGACTAGTTTATCAGACTAGGAAAAATATTTCAGCTTATACTGCAGACCACAAAAATTTCGTCGTCAAAGCCTAAGACGGGGAAAATGTTTTTGAGGGTACTGCCAGACAGGCCCTAAACCTAGCGAGAACCCTGCCATGTACAGCTATACCAAGTTCCTGACTTCGTAACAGTCAAGAAAGGTTCCCTCTACGCATCATTACTAGAGCGGGATTCTGAAACCGACGGAAAAACCAAAGTTCTTGCGGGATGCCATGGCCACATGCACGTGTGGTATGACGCGGGAGTGGGAGGAGGAAGGGAACGAGACTTCGACCTCCCGGGGCGATATCACGCTAGAACGGATCATGGGGCGTAACTCCTGCAGAAGAACAGATCGGATCAGATTTGATAAGAGGGAATTAGAGTCCAGAAATCGAGCCCGCCTTCTCACACTTCGTTTGTCATCGAATATTTTGATCCAATACCTTGCTGCAGACGGTCTTTCCCCCCACTTATGCCACCATCCCACACCCCATCCTCCTCCCCTCATATCTTTTCGCGTTCAGGTACTTGCCCCAGTGCCTTGCAGGGTAGACGCCTTGCAGTGGGTAAACGGTGTCTCCCACGGTCCCACCCATCTGAAGCGCCACACCACACCACACCACACCACACCATACCACACCACACCCTCGTCTCACACCCCACCCTCCTCCCCCTTCATATCCTCACCTCTTTCGCCTGCAGGTACTTGTTCCAGTATGGTTCTGTAGCGGGTTTATAAATCCCCCGCGGTCCGCCATTGTATCCACGCACCACAGACTCCTCGCTGTGCGGGCTGTAGTGGGAGGGGGGGAGGGGGAGGGTGAGCACACGTGCTGCGTGTGTGAGTGTGCTATGGCCGCAGAGTGGGAGAGACGCCTTCAAACACACACAGATCACAATCATCACACCCATCACACACATCACTCACGCAATGCCTGACAACGCACTCACATGCCCTTATAGTGGGAGAGGTATGAAAGGAACGCCATGCCGTAATACACTGCCTCGAACGGGCGGTAGAGGTCGGGACAACAAATGACATCCCAAGCATGCAAAAGCCTGCACTCACATGCCCTTGTAGTGGGAGAGGTATGAAAGGTACGCCATGCCGTAATACATCGCCTCGAACGGGCGGTAGAGGAAGGAATTGTGTGCAGTCTCAATGTAGGCGTCGTACCCCTGCACCTCCAGCGACTTTGCTGTTGACTGCAACACCTGCAGTTGGCAACACACCAGCACGGCAGCACAAGAAGAAAAGAGAGATTGAATAGGCACACGTGTATGCGCGGTACCCCATGTCCCCTTCCAGCTACTTTGCCGTTGACTGCAGCACCTGCAGTGGGCAACACGGGAAGCACAAGCGAAACACACATCATCGATGTAAGGCGCAGGTGCGATATCCAACCGTGGCCTTTGTAAGCCAATTTGACTGCAGAACCTCCAGCAGCCGACAGGAGATCCGACGGGAAACATGAAAAAATAGTAAGACCGTTTCAGGACTCAGGGGTGTAGGCGTTTAAAAAAGGTCTGCTCTTACGATGCCTGTACCTAGTTCTCCCAGTCCGCCCATACCTGCATGAGTCCAGTGCTGTACTCCCGGGTCTCCCAGCGACACGCCGTGAGCTGCCACGAGCTCTCCACGCGCGCCAGCCCACTCACCGCCGCCGCCACGTCATTCCCGCCCTCCAGGCCCTCAGGAAACAACCGCTTGCCCTCGCTGCTGAAGTGGCGGCGCTCGAGAATCGACGCCACCGCGTGTACCTCTGAGGAAAGGCATCGGGGGGTAGGGGGAAGGGTGCGGGGGGTGGGAGGTGAAAAAAGAAAGAGGGAGGGGAAGAAAAAAGGGAGGTATTTTCTCCTCTCTCCTCTCCGCTTCTCTCTTCCAAGCTATCACTTACCTTCGAAGGTGAGGTAAGGCACCATCTCGCCGCGGAGTTTCTTCATCACGAACGGAACTTTCCCGGTCGAGTCGCGCCGGAACTCCCACTGCTGCTTGACCCTCGAATCCGCCCACATGGCTCGCATGTCTTCGGAACTCGTCTCGTCGTCCCAGTAGTAAACCTTCTGGTTAGCCATGTGACCGTTGGAATGAACTTCGGACGCGCCTGAACAGTCTCCGCGATTATCCGGCTGAGGAATCTCAGATCTACTAGAGCTGATTGCAGAGTGTGCTCTCGTCGGTGGTGGAAACCTATCCCTCCAAGGGTCGGATTAAGTACAAGAAGCACACCCCGGATCGCCAATCGACCATTCCCGACGGCCGAATCGCCAATTGTCAATTTCAATCGTCGGTGGACTCGCTTCTGGCGAACGATGCACACCCGGATCGCCATCGTCGATTCCCGATCGCCGAATCGCCGTTTGCCGTGGCGATTCGGCCCGTCGGCTGTGACTGGAAGAGTGGGGCGGTGGTATGCGCATTGCATGCATCGACGAGATGCGCGTTCATCGGGCTCGCGACGCGTGTCAGGAGGAAAAGGGAGGGGAGCAGGTAAGCGGACAGGAGTCCGGCTATGCACGCGGTTGCATGAGTCGCCCGAAATGTGCGTTCGTCGGTCTCCCGACTGGTTCGCAGCGCACGCCATTCCCGTCAGGCACTGGTGGCCGAGGTGCGGGTTTTCACGCCCGGGAAAGCGTGTAGTGGGGAAATGGGAGGGGAGCAGGTAAGCGGACGGGGTTCATCGCCATTTCGTCAAGCAATGGTGGAGGTGAAGGGGAATTTCACGCCTGTGAAAGCGTGGAAGGGGTAGAAAATCGGAGAGCCATTTTATTCACGCGGACGGGATTCACGGCTAGTATGGACGAGATTCGCAAAAAAGCCTTGTTGCATGTGTTGCGAAACAGAAACAGTAAATTCTGGCGAAACGGTTGCTGGTAGCCGACTTTCGTCCATTTCGCCACAGGGAACGTGCGAGCACTTGCAGGCGACGTGGTCACTTTCAGGCCACGATGGGGTTGGCTGCCTCAAGTTAGCGAAGCCGAATGACAGATATTGTGCCACAAAATGACTTCGATACTAGGCGTTGAAGCCCATAAGCTGACGAACCCTGCAGTTAAACCTGGTAGCGTGGAGGGACTAGGCGCGACTTGGCGCGCCTTGCTTAGGGTCGAATGCTTTTTTTCTACCCTCGATACTGTACTCAAGTTCGTTCAATTCAAGTGGAACTCTGTAACGCGTAGAATTCATCACGTCACTTGCATCCACTCTGGGGGCCCACCACTGCGCGCCGCTTCTTACGGCAATCACTAATGTTATGAGGTAATTCCAAGGCCATTGTTAGCAGAAAATGCATCGCCCTCGACACAGCCCTCATGCATCCTCGTGCATCGCGTGAAAGCGAACCCCATCTATTTTCCCTGCTCCCACATTCCCCCCTTCCACGTTGTCACACTCCGCGGATCTTTCCCCCTCCGCCCAGCGCGTCACGCACGGTGCGCCAACCCGCCTTGAGTCCGACGAACGCGCATCTCCAGCGACGCATGCACCATGCCATCGCCCAATAGTCGCTGCTTGCTTCACATCCGACGCGCCGAACCCCCACGGCGAACGGCGATCGGCGATTTGCGAATGTCTGCGATTAGCATGCACGATCCCCGCCGGGCCGTCATCAGCATCTCCGGCGATGCGCTGTCCGCAGTGCCATCCGTCGCAATCCGTCAGAAGACGGATTTCCGAAACGCAGGCCTGGCTCACCAATTCCGAAGACGTTCACGTCAGAAGCACGCACCTATCGTTTTGTCGTCCTTCTGAAGTTGTACGTTCGTATCCGTCCGAGTGTGGTTCAAGTTCACTCGCCGAGGCACAACGACCCATGAGAAGACGGTTTTCCGGAAATTGTGATACCAGCCGAGGAGAAAAAGGTTCTGGAATAAATTTCCGACCTAGTTCTGAACGGTCACACCAATAATCGCGGACTCAGCGAGTCTCGGAGACTCTTAAGGCGCGCCAGGAGTTTATCCCAACGGTATACATGGATAATCAAGGAGATTGCGGGCCTTTTAAAGCCAATCAAGGAGATTGCGGGCCTATTAAAGCCGGAGTAGATGTCGTCTATTGGGACGACTGGACGGACGGCGACGACATGCGAGCCATGTGGGCTGATCCGGGTGTTAAGCTGCTGTGGGAGCAGAGGCGAGAAGCATCCGGGAAGGTTCCGTTTAAGATGGAGAAAGTCGGTGACAAGAGCGTGCCTTACGTGGGCTTGGAAGGTACGAGTGGAGCGAGTGATGGAGCAGAGGGGAGAAGCATTCAGGCAAGTCGCTCAAGATGGGAATAGTTGGCCACGTGAGTGTACCTTTAGTCGGTCTCAAAGGTAAGAGGAGTGGAGCGAGTGAGAGAGAGTGATGGAGGGAGTGGATGAGTTAAAGAATGAGTCAGGGATTGTTAATTGTGGGGGAGGGGAAGAGCGGTTGCTGAAAGGAACTTGAGGAAGGAGTTTTGGGGAAGAAGCTATTAGCTACTCTCACTCGTCTCCACCATCAGGGGATTTTCTAGTCGACTCAATCAAGGAGGCATGACTTGTTATGAGGAGCAACCCTGCACTCGCTTCCGTTCCGCCTTACTTCGTTCACCATCTGACACGTCACCATCCCCTTTCTTTGTTTCTCGCAAACCTCCCCCTTAAATCCTGTTGCAGAGCTCCATGCGGCGATTCTCATTCTCCTACGCCGCCACTTCAGCGACTTTTGAGGCGCCGCAAAAGTACCCCACCTCCCCCGCACCCTTCCTTGCAGAGCTCCAAGCGGCGGTTCTCATTCTCCTGCGCCGCCACTTCAGCGACTTTTGAGGCGCCGCAAAAGTACCCCACCTCCCCCGCACCCTCCCTTGCAGAGCTCCAAGCGGCGGTTCTCATTCTCCTGCGCCGCCACTTCAGCGACTTTGAGGCGCCACCGCGAAAGTCCCCCAACACCCCCCCCGCTTCCCCCACCCTCCCTTGCAGAGCTCCAGGCGGCGGTTCTCATTCTCCTGCGCCGCCACTTCAGCGGGCGGGGCAAGCGGCTGTGGCCGACAGGCCTGGCGGGCAGCGAGGGTGACGCCGTGCTGACGGTGTGCGCCGTAGCAAGGGTGGCGAGTGGGTGGCAGCCCTTTGAGTACTGCTTCGTGCCCCGCCTTGGGGAGGCGAGCACCGGACTCATGCAGGTGCGGTGGGGACGGTTGTGAGAAGCAGGTGCGGCGGGCCTCATGGTTACCGCATGGACAGTGGCGGGCGATACTGTTGACTTGGGCTCATCCACTCGTTGGTTCTCATGGGGTACCACGCATGATTCTTGCCTCACTCAATCCTACCCCAGTACCTTCCCTCCGTGGCGGTTCTGCAGGCCATTCCCTTGCTTCCAGTGGCAGGTGCTGCAGTCGTCAGCGGAGAGGCCAGCGAGGGACATGGGGTATCGCGCCCACACACCTACCTCTTCAGTTACTTTCTTCTTCTCGTGCTGCCGTGTTTGTGACTGCAGGTGCTGCAATCAACAGCGAAGTGGCTGGCGGAGGACATGGGGTACCGCACCTATGCTGCTGATGTGTCATTCTCCAGGCTCTTCCGCCCATTTGCCGCCCTCTATTATGGCATGGCGCACCTGACATGGCTCACCACTTACAAGGGCGTGTGAGTGTGCTGTCAGGGGTTGTGTAACTAGTTCCGGTAACAGTGTGTGCAGTGAGAAGTATGTCGTGAGTGCATACCAAGGGGAGGAGGGGGGGGGGGAAGTTATATCCGTCAGGAATATGAGGTTTTTGTTCTTCCCTCCTGTAATGTAACAGTTCATGCAGTGAGGAGTTTGTGGTGTGTTCATACCACGGAGGGCACTGATCTAGATACTTTTGAGGCGCCTAAAGAATTGCGGGTATAGAGACGACTTTCGAGGCGCCCAAAAATTTGCGGGTAGTGAGACGACTTTTGAGGTGCCTCAAGAGACGAGGAGTTTGTGGTGTGTGCATGCGCATGCAAGTATGCACATATATGCAAGCATGCACACATGCCTTCTTCCCCCATCTCGCCCACGCTTTTAACAGCACGCAGAGTGAGGAGTTCGTGGTGCGCGCAAACCATGGAGGGCCAGGGGGGTGGGAGGAAGGGTCTGCAGCAAGTCACTGGAGCAACTACCTGCAGGCGAAGGAGGTGAGAGGGGGAGGTTGGTGCGTAGGAATAGAGAAGGAAGAGGAGAGTATTGGAACTACAGGGATGGATAGAAGTGGGTAGGATTGGATTGGCTACAGGGGCATGCTTTAATCTGCAAGAGGTACTATAGAAACAGAGCCTCCTGTTCAGTTCAAAGTGCTCTGCCTTTATAACTGCTATCAACTCCCGTGCTGCAGGAGGTGCTCCGCATGCTGCGCGGCTCGTCTGCACTACCGCTTCCGCCCACGCCAGCAGCCACGTCCGTGTCTCCGCCCATTCTTCCCTCGATCCCATTGCAACCCGCCCTTGAGGCACCTCCTTTCCCACATGAACCTCCTTTTCCACAGCAACCTCCTTTTCCATCCGCAGCACAAGCCTCCTTCCCATCACCACTGCAGTCCGTCTTCTCACCCAGCAACTCAGAGCGCTCTGCTTATTTCAGCGTGAGCGTCAAGTGGGGCTTCAAGTAGGGTCGGGAATGAGTGGCCTTCAAAGTTCGAGACAGGCAGAGAGAGAGAGAGGTATGTGTATGTGCCTGTATCAGGCGGGAAAGAGCACAGTGACATGACCTACATAGGAAAGTAGCACAGCTGCACTGTACATACATGGTTAGATTTGCATCACAAAGGATGGTGTTGTTAGGGGAGTAATTTTGAATAATAACTGAGGCAGCTTGGAGCAGAGGCTAGTTGAGCAGGGAGAAAGAAAGGCAAGTGGGAAAGAACATGGTTGAAAGAAAGGAAAACTGTTAATTGGAGAAGTGGGGTATCGATCCCCATACCTCTCGCATGCTAAGCGAGCGCTCTACCATCTGAGCTACATCCCCATGTCGACGACCTGCAGCGTTATTTTTCGTATTTCATATAAGACCAAATACCGACTTCACTTGCCAATTGGTTGTGCCCCAGGTGCCATGGCCAGATCATCACACCGCACTTTAGTTAGGCTACTCTTCTTTACACTAGCACTATTATCCTCAACCTCTAGAGTCGCCACCGGTCAGGATGCAGATATAACAGACGACTTACGAACACCGGGCGATGGCGAAGTTTGGCGAAGCAGCGGCGACACGAAGCATCGTCGCGCGTGAGTAGTCGTGTAGGAAGAGCGTGCGAGTGAGATTCCCTGGAAAGGAGCTGCTTTTCGAGCAGCACACGAGGGTATTCGGAATATTCTAGATGCCTTGTAGAAAGATGAGCTCCTTAGGTATCGGAAAGCGTCAGGTAGGGATAGTACGTTCACCGGTTGCTGGGAGTTGAGTGCTTAGAGTTGTCTCGAGGTCCGTGCTAAGTTTGACTGGTTATCAGTACCATTTGATTCTAACCATTGGCGAAGTTCCGCGAGAGTTTTGACGACGCATGTTGGCGAAGCAGGTGGTTCATGTGATATCAGAATCACGTCCATTTCTAGATTCAGAGAAGACATGTGGCGTTAGGTGTGCAACCTGGAATCGAGACGGGTTCAGTCGGATACAGGTAGCAGGTGTGATCTGGAATGTGCTGTTAGTTTGATGAGGAGGCTGCTGGGTTTCTAATCCACGTTGCCGTCAGCAGATTGGCTGGAACTGTAGGCTTAGCACTGAATTCACCGAGGACATGCCGTGCTGTGCAATATTATGGCATGACGCACCGTACGTACAACATACCATGACCTGTGATCGCATACTAGACATTCTGACATGCTACGCCATGTCATCTCATGCGATGTCATGTCATTTGAGTCATCCTGACGTGCTATGCCATGTCATGCCCTGTCATGTGGTAGCATATTGAACATTGAGACATTGTAAAGAGTTGTACCATGCCAATTCCAAACTCAGTGTCGTGCATCCATGCAAGATGCAATCAAACATGCAGATACCCGGTGATTCAGCCGGACACGAAGCAAACGAACCTCAAGGTGTCCCAGCAACAACTGACTCAATATCCTGTGTTGCCATCCGTTTGTCATGTCTTTCATGTATGATGTATGTTCCCAACTCAACGTGGTGCATACAATCATGCATGCAGGTACCCGGTAATACAGCCAGACACGAAGCACACAAAGCTCAAGGTGTCTCAGGAAGGTCTCAGCGTGATCAGGAGCATCAAGAATCCCATCGCCATTGTTGCGGTATGTATGCCTGCTATTCCTGATACCATTTGTGTTTTAAGTTAATGCACAACACTCAACTCAAGGTGTCCCAGGAGGGTCTCAGCGTGATCAGAAGCATGAAAAACCCCATCAGCCTCGTTGCGGTACGTCTGCCTGCTTGCTTGTTTGTGATGTGAACCACCAAGCTGCTCATTCGTCCATGCCTCACTTGGTGGCGATACAAAGCCGTGTGCCAGCTATGTTGCCATATGTTTGTCATGATTCAATGTATCTTGCGCGCACACATGTGTTTATGTTTTGCGTGTATGTGTGCATGTTTTGCATGTATGTGTGCATGTTTTGCATGTATGTGTGCATGTTTTGCATGTATGTGTGCATGTTTTGCATGTATGTGTGCATGTTTTGCATGTATGTGTGCATGTTTTGCATGTATGTGTGCATGTTTTGCATGTATGTGTGCATGTTTTGCATGTTGTACCTGCCAACCCATCCCGTCAGGTGATTGGACCGTATAGATCAGGCAAATCTTTTCTGCTCAACCAGTTGCTTACACTCACGTGCGATGAAGGTATGTTATTCTTCTGTTTCAAATCATGCTCCATATCCGTCAAGCCATTCAACTCCATTTCATCCATCTCTCTCCCTCAAAATCTCCTCTTTTCTCCACTCGCACCTCGTACGCACCCCTTGCTTGCACTTGTCCCTCAGGATTTGGAGTGGGCCATGCACGAGACACCAAGACCAAAGGTGAGTGACAGGCAATAATCATTCCTATTTTGTTGTATTTAGCCTTCTGGGATTGTTTCTGCCTTTTTTAAAACTATTTTATCCTTTCAAATCTGTTCCAGCCTTTGGATTTATTTTCACCGTCTAAGCTTCTTTTGAAATCCCGCATTTCTTGCCGCTGGCAGGCATATGGGTGTGGGGAGACCCCATGGAGATGCAGGTGAACGGGCAAACCACATCGGTGCTGTTCCTGGACACTGAGGGCTTTGAGAGCGTCGGCAAGTCCTCCGTCTACGACGACAGGTGCGTGTGCTGCATGCATGTGTACCAGGCTCTTGAGTCCAGGGCTTGACTTTCTTGTCGTCTTGAAGCACCTCTTTCCTTCTTCCGGCTTCATTCTCTCCCCATCATCCCCCTCCCACCATTCCCCTCCCGTTCCATTCCTCTCCCGTCTGCACCCTGCCGCAAAGCCAGCACATAATGAACTTTGCTCGTACTTAATGACCTTTGCTCGCTTTAATGAACTTTGCTCGTACTTGCCTCACATCGCCCGCTCTCCTCGCTCCCGCCCCTCTCTACTCCTCTCTGCTCCTCTCGCCTCAGAATAGCCCCCTCTGCACGTCTCCCCATCCGGCCCCTCGTCCTCCCCCCCACCTCCCCCCCTTCCCCCCGCCCTTCCCCCCCCCCCCCCCCCCGCCCTTCCCCCATTCCCCTTCCCCATGCTTGGCACAGGATATTCGCCCTGGCCACGGTGCTAAGCTCAGTGCTTATATACAACCTTGCAGAGACGGTGAGTCAGATGCAGAGTAAAACGCACGCTATGCTGAGTCAGATGCCGCGCATAGTGAGTAAAGCTGCAGGTGTTATATCTTTCTCTTGTTGCTTGCATCAACCCCCACTGCCCTCACACACACGCTGCTTCTGTGGCGGCACTTCCTGGTGTGTGTGTGCTTGGGTGTAAATGCGTGTGCCTGCACATGTGAACGTGTGCATGTCTGCATGTGTGCATGTGCCGTCATGTCTGCATGTGTGCCTGCATGTTACACTGCCTGTGTGCCTGCATGTGTTCATGTCTGCATGTGTGCCTGCATGTTACACTGCCTGTGTGCCTGCATGTGTTCATGTCTGCATGTGTGCCTGCATGTTACACTGCCTGTGTGCCTGCATGTGTTCATGTCTGCATGTGTGCCTGCATGTTACACTGCCTGTGTGCCTGCATGTGTTCATGTCTGCATGTGTGCCTGCATGTTTCACTGCCTGTGTGCCTGCATGTGTTCATGTCTGCATGTGTGCCTGCATGTTACACTGCCTGTGTGCCTGCATGTGTTCATGTCTGCATGTGTGCATGTCTGCATGTGTGCATGTCTGCATGTGTGCATGTCTGCATTTGTGCATGTATGCATGCATGTGTGCCTGCATGTGTGCATGCATGTGTGCATGTATGCATGTGTGCCTGCATGTGTGCATGTATGCATGTGTGCCTGCATGTGTGCATGTATGCACATGCGCATACACAGGTGAAGGAAGCGGATATAGCCAAGCTGTCATTCGCTGTTGAACTGGCAGAAGAGTTTTACGGCAGGTGAAAAAGGCGGATGGGGGATGGGTTGGGTGGGGAAAAGGGAAGGAGGGGTTGGGGAGAGGCGAGAGTGCATGTAGGGGGTGCCTGGG